TCGGGTGCACATCGTATTTTTCAATTGACATGCCCCTCCTGGCGCTCGCACCCTGTTTTTTTTTACCAGGGAAAGTCTTCCGGCTCAAACTGTGTCCCTGGCCCCCGGGTTACAACAACAACGGCTCCCGCCTGAGACTCCCTCACAATTTTCCTTGGGCCCTCGCTCCCGCCGTAGATTCCCTTGCAAGTTTATGCAGGAGTCGCACTCTCGCGTGGGATTTTTCACCATGTATGCAGGAATCGCTCTCCCAGCGCTCTTGAGTCGCGCTCTCGCTGGAGATTCGCTTGCAATTTACTTGGGAACAGCGCCCTTGCGTTGGAATTTCTTGCAATTTACTCAAGCGCCGCGCTCCCGACATTCAGGCACCCAAGAGTCGCGCTCACGCTTAGGACGTCCTCACAATTATTTAGGAATCGGGATCTTGCTGCCCTTCGTGGCCCCGTTGCAGCCTTTCGTGGCCCCTCGCTGCCTTTCGTGGACCAATTGCACCCCTTCGTGGCCACCTTGCTGCCCTTCATGGCTCCGTTGCAGCCCTTCGTGGCCCCCTCGCTGCCCTTCGTGGCCCCGTTGCAGCCCTTCGTGGCCCCCTCGCTTTGTTTCGTGGCCCCGTTGTAGCCTTTCGTGGCCCCCTCGCTCCCCTTCGTGGCCCCGTTGCAGCCCTTCGTGGCCCCGTTGCAGCCCTTCGTGGCCCCCTCGCTCCCCTTCGTGGCCCCGATGCAGCCCTTCGTGGCCCCCTCGCTGCCCTTCGTGGCCCCGTTGCAGCCTTTCGTGCCCCCCTCTCTGCCCTTCGTGGCCCCCTCGCTGCCCTTCGTGGCCCCGTTGCAGCCCATCGTGGCCCCGTTGCAGCCCTTCGTGGTCCCCTCGCTCCCCTTCGTGGCCCCGTTGCAGCCCTTCATGGCCCCCTCGTTGCCGTTCGTGGCCCCATTTATGTATGCCCTTCGTGGCCCTGGTTGTTCGCGCCTGTCGTGGCCCCATATGCATGCCCTTCGTGGCCCCGCTGTCGCCCTTTGTGGCCCCCTCGCTGCCCTTCGTGGCCCCGTTGCTGCCTTCAGTGGCCCCGTACTTGTCCTCCGCGGCCCAACATACGTATGCACTTCGTGGCCCACGCTCGTTCGCGCCCGTCGTGGCCCCATGTGCATGCCCTTCGTGGCCCCGCTGTCGCCTTTCGTGGCGCATTCGCTGTCCTACGTGGCCCAGTTGCTACCGTCAGTGGCCCCGTCGTTGCCTTCTGTGGCCCCGCATTATCTGCCCTTCGTGGCCCCCGCTTGTTCGCGCTCTCCGTGGCCCCATACGCATTCCCTTCGTGTCCCCGCTGTCGCTCTTCGTGTCCTACTTCGTGTCCATCGTGGCCCTGCTGTCCTTCTCTCTCGCTCTCGCTTTCGCTCGTTGTCGTCGTCGCCGTCGTCGTCGTCGTCGTCGCCGTGCTCGTCGACGTCGTCGTCGTCGTCGTGGTCGGTCCCCTGTCCGTTCCTCTTGGGGTCGGGTCGACGGTCCGCGGCCGCCCCGCCGATCAGCGCTGCCGCTGGCCAGGCCGACGGTCCGCGGCCGCCCCCCCGCTTGCCGGGGCCGGACCTGCAGGGAAGAAAGGTATACCCCCCAAAAGGGGTTCGATCGAAGACGAAGAGGGCGGGTATCGAGGGTTTGGAAAATACGCGTGAACGGATATTCGAGCTGGTTAGAGCGAACAGTCTTAACTTGATTGTTGTTGTTCTTGTTGGTGGTGTTGTTGTTTTGTTGTTGTTGGTGGTGTTGTTGTTGTCGTTGTTGTTGTTGTTGGTGGTGGTGTTGCTGCTGTTGTTGCTGTTGTTGATGTTGATGTTGATGTTGTTGTTGTTGTTGTTGTTGGTGTTGTTGGTGTTGTTGTTGTTGTTGTTTTGTTGTGTTGTTTTGTTGTTGTTGTTGTTGGTGTTGTTGTTGCTGTTGTTGTTGATCTGTTGTTTTGTTGTTTTGCTGTTTTGTTGGTTTTGTTTGTTGTCGTCGTCCCACCCGCGACCCACCCCCGACCCACCCCGCGACCCACCCCGTGACCCACCCCGCGACCCGCCCGGCGACCCACCCCGCGACTCGCCCGCGACCCACCCCTGCGACCCATCCGCGACCTACCCTGCGACCCACCCGCGACCCACCCGCGACCCACCCGCGACCCACCCCGCGACCCACCCGCGACCCACCCAGCGACCCATCCGTGACCCACCCGCGACCCACCCGCCACCCACTTGCGACCCACCCGCGACTCACCCCGCGACCCACCTGCGACCCACCCGCGACCCACCCGCGACCGCCCGCGATCCACCCCGCGACCCACCCGCGACCCACCCGCGACCCACCGCGACCCACCCGCGACCCACCCGCGACCCCCCGACCCACCCGCGATCCACCCCGCGCGACCCCGCGACCACCCGCGACCCACCCGCGACTCATCCCGCGACCCACCTGCGACCCACCCGCGACCCACCCGCGACCCATCCGTGACCCTCCCGCACCCGCGACCCACCCACGACCTACCCACATTGGTTTAACAAGAAGGTCGGCGCCTGCGGCGGGCTCTTTGTATAATTTGTGAAACTTTGGCGCCTGCGGCGGGCTTCTCCAGAGTCCCGCAAACTGCCAACGTCCCCACCGCCCCCTCACTCTTGTCCGCATCTGCGGGGTGCTACGGATAAGATATGTTTTATCTCTCCTCCCAAATCCGCCTGTAGGGGGACACGCCCGAACTAATGCCAGGGTTGAGCCCTGTGTTGGATGTTCGTTTGGGGGGCCCTCCACCCCAGACCCCCTCGAGTCACGAAAACATCACGGTGGCAGGTGCTCCGCTATTTTCGGCCCTTGGGGGCCCTGACCGGGCCTCGCGGCCGTCAAGAGACGACTCATCTGGACGAACGAAACGGGCACGGAAAGAATGGGCACAATGCCCAAGAGCAGTTCCTGTTTATTTTGAACAGGACTCGCTGTTCACGCCGCCGCGGCCTGTGTCCATTCGAGACAGAAGGCCGCCTGCCCAACAGCGGCCGCTGCTGGTTTGGGACAACATTTGTTGTTTGGCATTGTACCCATTCTTTCCGTACCCATTTCGGGCGTCCAAAACTCAGGATGAGAAACGGGTCCGGGGGGATGGGTCGCGACCCTTGGGGGTCGACGTTGCGAAAAAGCCACGACGTCGAGGGTCTGAGTTCCTCGGGGCCCACCTGACACGGACATGCTCGCATCGTGACAACCTCGGGTCGGGAGGCTGCTGGCTGCTCTCGGCCTCCAGGGGCCCTCGCTGGGCCCCGGGAGCGTGCAAAACGACTCGGGATGGAAAGCAGGCCCTGGGAAAGGGTCGCGGCTTCTGGGGACCCGGTATTAAACAACACCCAAGTCGACTCTTGTTCGACTCTAGCTCGACCCTAGCTCGACTCGAGCTCGCCTCAGGTTCGACGGCTGCTCGACGCAGCATCGACGCACGAGTGGAGCGATAGGCTCCAGGAAGGTGCCCAGAACGAGCATCTGACTGGTGGAGCGCGCCGCCTCGCCCCCCTCCCGGGAGGGGCCACCTCCGCACTCGACCTTCCACGAAGCTCCGGCGGCCAGACTTCTTCGAGACATGTGGCCCCAGACTCTCGACCCCTTCCCCAGGCTGGCATTGAGAGCGTTGCACTTTACATGCAGGCAGGCACACTTGCCTGGCATTGCCCCCCCCTCTCCCCCCCCCCTCCCCCACTCCGCCGCCCTTCCAAGCAGCGCGCCGGGACGAAGCGGCGTGCAAGTGCGCCCCGCCTTGCGTGCAGCCCAGAGTCTCTTGCGGGCCTCGCCCCACCCCCCTTCCCCTGCAGGCAAGCCTGCCCGAGTCCGAGGCAACAGGAACAGCAGCCTCGCTGCCTGCCGAGTCGTGTTTCGCCGGCTCCGGGGCCGGGGAGCGGCCTCATTATTCTAGAGGGCCAGCGTGGCGAAGCGACGGCCCTCTCGACTGCAGGAGCCCCTCCCGTTCCGCGCGGCCTGGCGCGCCGGCGGCCTGGCGTGGGCCACCGCGAAAGGCCGCCGCGCCGCGGCACTCCGCATCAGTACGTGGCGACTCGTCGCTCGTCTGCCCAGGCCTCCAACGCCTTGAACAAACCGGGGCGTTTTGTTCTTCTCGCCTGTCTGGGCCTCGTGGGGGGGCCGCTTGGGGGCCGCCAAGAATCGGCCCAGGCCGAGGAGCCAGGCTCGAGGAAGGTGCCGAGAGCTCTGTGGGCCACGTGTTGGACAGAGTCACGACAGCGGAGGCCCTTCGCCTTCGAGGAGGCATCGGTGCAGCAGAAGCGGGCGGAGCGAAGGCGGAAGCTGGCGGAGGCAAGAGGCGTGTGCACCCGAGAGAGGAGAACGGTGGCGCACCCCAGGGCTTCCGGCATCGTCCACATGCCTGCCAGGCCTGCTTGTCGCTTCGAGCAGCTTTTTGACCGCCCGGGTGCAGCCAGTTTTTTCTTTCTGGGGGCAGGTATCCGACGACATGGTTCGAGAGGCTCGCGCCATTCCGCCGACCCCCAGAAGAGGCGGGGACTCTGCTGGTGAGGCGGCGTCGTGGGCTTCTTGGGCACTATCTGGGGACTCTTGTGGGCGTCTTGGGAGCTGTTTGGAGGCCCGATGGATCCTCTCGGAGGCAGTTGTGAAGCGTCTTGGGCCCCGTTTTGCGGCACCTTTTGGGCCTCTATTTGGCCTCTTGGGGTTTATTGGAGGCCTCTTCTGGGCCGCTTGGGGGCTTCTTGGGGCCTTTGGGGGGCCTCTTAGAGCGGAAAAAGGCGGTGGATGGGGCAGACATCCGACGATATGATGTTTTCAATGCGCGGCCCCAGAGCTTTGATCCAACCCCTTCCTGGGGGCCTAAGCTTCGCGCTGGATCTTTTCTTGATGGCCCAAGGGCCCGACAACGCTGGAGGCCGAAATCAAGGAACATCGCCAGTTGACAAAATCATATCGTCAGAGGTTTGGGCTTCGAGTCGCTGGATCGTCTGGGCTCGTCTCCTCCTTGCTGGCGGAACGGGATGCCCTTGGGGGGCGGCCTCGTGCGCCGCGCCGTGGTGGCGGCGGCCGTGGCCGCTCCCGCGGCGGCCGCGCAGTGCGAGGATGCGCGGTGGAGGAGCCCCGCGCGTTGCGTGCGCGCCGGGCATCTGGCGGATTTGTTGTTTGTGCTTCTTCTTTCCAAGGGCGTTTCTTGCTCCTCTCGCCCGTGGCGATTCTTCCCGCAACGGGCGCTTTCGCTCGATTTCGGGACCCGTGACCATCACGGATCGATTCAGCTTCAACAATGCAGCAGAAGGTCTGGGGTTCCAGTCGTGATGTTTGGTCATGTTTCATGTATTCGCAGAGTCGGATCTCAGGGTCTTCTTTGTCCTATTCGTCCTCCTCCTCATCCTCCTCCTCTTCATCTTATTTCCTCCTCGTCTCTCCACTTCCTCCTCCCCCTCCTCCGATGCAAGAACTGACGATAGTTGGACCATTCTCTGGGACATCACGGCTTGGTAGGAGATTGCACAGAACATGTGGCGCGATGAAAACAGCACGGAGGTTATGTAAGAGTTCCTGGGGAGCAGAGGTGGCAGACAAAGTCACGAGGACTATGTGCATTGCCTCTGTGACGGGCGCGTGACTGAGTGTTATGGGATCTTGTCGATGCCTATCTTGGTCATGGTTCATGCCAGCCGCTGCTGGTCCGCGAGGATGAACCACAAATAGTTGGCGACCAAGAGGGACGACGACCACTCGACACCGACGTTTCCGCGCTCGGTCTTGGTCGTGGTCCCCGTGCTCTGCCCCTCCAGTTGAGGAGGAGGAGGAGGAGGAGGAGGAGGAGGAGGAGGAGGAGGAGGAGGAGGAGGAGGAGGATCAGGAGGAGGAGGAGGAGGCGGAGGAGGAGCCACCCGCGCCACTGCGGGTGTACAGCAGGCCCACCAGATAGGAGACCCGTTCGCCAGCAGGTGCCCCGCGGAAGTCCCCCACTCCCTGAGAGCCCCAGTGACTTGCCGTGGTTCCAGGGCACCTCGGGACTTCCAGAGATCGATGAGAAGACTGCACCCCAAAAGTTCTTGCAATGTCAAATGTGCTTAGCCGCATTTGGGGCGGAGGGGCTGCGTGCTGGCAGACGCTCCCTGCACTCCCAGGCCGTGGGCGGGCTCTTCCTCCCCCGCGAAGGAGCCTCCACGACGTGCTCGACAGGGCGCGCCGCGAGACCGCGTATCGGGAGGTGGTCGTGGAGGGGTTCCACGAGCTGCAGCAGACACATTTCGCATGGTACAGGGACAACTACCAGGACCTCGGTCGGGTCGGACGAACGAGGGGAGAGCGGGGGAGTACACGAGGGGGCGGTACGATATTTGCCGAGTGCTTCCCATTTCGGCACCTCCTGGCGCCGACATGAACCGCCTGCGCAGGCCGATTCGCCGCCCCCTACTCTCTGGTATGCAACTTCTGGGAGGTGAAATTCAGCATCGGCGCTGGTATATCCGCGGTCGATAGCCAGCCTCATCCCGCGCACTGGCCCTCGCTTCAGTCTTAATAGCCCTACATCTGTATTGTGAAGACCTTCCAGGAGCTCCTTCCTAAGAACCCCTACTTCGTCCAACCCGACAGGACTGCGTGGAGGGCTTCGTCTCGCTCGTGCTGTACCTGTCGCTGCACAGCGCGGGCCGCCAGAAGGTGCTGCTCGACCTAGCAGACCACGCGGCGCGCGAGCTCAACCCGCTGGCGCCCCGCGGCGTGCAGAAGGGGGGCATGGTGAGGGGCGACCTGCTTAGGGGCATCGAGGATCGAGGAGGAGGAGGAGGATCGAGATGGAGGAGGAGCAGGGGGACCTCCGAGGAGGACGAGGAGGAGGAGGACCAAGGTGAACCCAAACTGCACCAGCGGTGCGGCAGTGTACCCTCCCGTCCCGAGTCTCGTAATCAGACGACCTTGCAAGTGTCCCCTCTCACTGTAAGAAGCTTCCCACTTGACAGGCCAGCACCACCTGGGCCTGCCATTTTGGCGAGGGCCCCGCTCTGAAAAGGAACCTGCGTTGGATACTGCTAGCGAGCACAGCGAAATAAGCACAGTTCAACGAGATCTGTGACCAGATATCTCCCTTTCCGAGCAATGGACCGCCCCACCTCCGTGCCACTGCTGCACAGTGTTCCGCTCGGCTGTGGTTTGTGCACCCCGTCGAAGTCTGAAGCGGGAGCTCCACTTGGATAAGGAGCTGCCTGCGATGTGTGCAGTGTTGCGCGTGTTGACGTTCTGGATGTGCACCATGAGGGACGCCTCCAGCAATAACCCCGCTGACACAATGTCAGAGTAGCTACTGTAGGCTTTCAAACGAAATGCGGGCGGCGCTGAGGCGGGAGCCTTTTTTCTTCTGCTGCTGTGAGCAACTACTTGTCGTCCACCCTATAAGTTGTTACAATGGTTTAAGAGGAATGCGCGCGGCGTTCCTGAAGCTGTCTAAGTGCGTCTGGGTAAAATTGTGCGCGGCACTGCCGCGAGGGCCACATTTTCAAACGACCCCCCCCCCGTCCCCTCCGTCCCTGAAGTTGCCCGAAGTGTTCAAGGCGACAGCGCGCGGCGCTGGTGAGAGCCACATTTAAAACAAAACACACCCATCCCCGTTGAACCTGCTGCAAACAACTGAAAGGAATGTGCGCAGCGCTTCGACGGGAGCCACATTTTGAAATGGAGCCGTGCTCCGTCCTTGACGCTGTTGCAGCCATTCAGATCGAATGCGCGCGCGGCGCTAAGGCGATAGCCCCAATTTAACAGCAACAACCACCACCCCTCCATCCTTGAGACTATTGCACATATTCGAGCAAGCTTCGAAATCGTGAATGGTGTGGCCTTCTCATGCGAATCGCCTGGCCAGCTGTATTGACACGTTGGGGGGTGCGGCAGGGAGGAGTTTTCGTAAGGAACAGGGGTGGAGGACCCCCCGCTTTCCAAGAAGCCTCTTCTTTGGTGTTGCCAGAGGGTTGGTCCTTGCCCAAGATGCTTCCAGCTTGTCGCATCTCCCTGTGCCTACTGAGGGGTGCTCTGGATGCCCTTGGGGTTTCCTTGGAGATCGTGGGGCGCCTTGGGACAATGATTCTTCTGGCAATGCCTGGCTCACGGAAGCCTCCGACCCCCTCTAAGCAGCACTTCCTGCCTTCTTGGAAGGCCGCCTCCCCTCGCCCCCGCCTCCTCCCAGACTTCTGGTGGCGTGATTGCCTCGAGGCGCGGTCCCTGCAGAAGTCAGGACCCTTTCCCCATCACCAGTTTTCATCCCAGCGTGTTTCTGACGGCCCCAAGGTCTGAAAGTTATTCTCTGAGGCCGGTATTTGCGATACAAATCCGTCGTGCACTTTTCCTTGATAGCATCGCGCTCTAGGGCCCCAATAGAAAATACACCCTTGCGGCAGGGGAAATAAGTGAAACAGCTTTCCGCAGGGGCCCGGCAGTCCACCTGACATTCGTTAGAAAAGAAAGTTTGCGGGCAAGCTGCTTTGCGAGTGCATGCGCACAAATGAGACCATGCTCGAACATTGTTATTACTCATGCTACGACATGTCACGGTTACTATGATTGTCAGGCAACGATCAGGCACGTAGACTGGCGCAGGCTTGAACGGACCAGCACCCAGAGAGGGGGAATCTCCACGGGTCCCTGTTTTGGTTCCAGCCATGCTTTCCTGCAGAGTTCAAACATAAGGAACACCAGTCACAAAACTTAAGGAATCTGATTAGCAAGCTGACCAGCTTGTCTTTCAGCCGCGCCTTCGGCGGGGCCAGGTCTGCGTGCATGTCCGTGAGGGCCCAGTCTGGGTGCTGGTCCGTGGAAGGTGCCTACGTTCAGTGGCAATTCTACTAAACAGTTGCTGCTGTACTAGTGCAACAGCGCTGTACTTATACTTGCGCTCGAGAGTTGTATTCGTACTTGTGTAAGAGAGTTGTATCTGTACTTGTGTAATCGACTACACGTAAGAGAGACCCTCGGCTAGGATGACCTTTGGTGCGCGGCTTCAGAAGCGCCCGTGGAGGCCCAACGCGACCACGCAAGTCGCGTCTGTCGAACCGCATCAGCGATCGAAGGGACGGGCCTCGAAAGATCCTTCGCGCCAGCGGACAACCGCGGAATTCTGCGAATTCGATTCGAACGTCCCGAATGGCACCCCGAAAGCGCTGCGAAAGCAGGCGCTGCCAGGAGCCACCGCGATGAGGCCTGGCACTGCAGGGCCGCGTCGCGACGGCGTCTGACCAGGTCCGGCGTCGTGACTAAACCGGTCCCCATCGCGGGCACAGAACATGTTTGAAGATGTTTAGATTGTTTGCAAAAGTGAAGCGTCCCATTATTTCGCGAGCTGTATTCAAAGATATTTTAATCTATTCGAACCGGACGATTCGGGATGTGGGCTGAGATTTGGGACCGGTCCTGAGGCGGAAAACGCGCAGCCTGGTTGACCGCCCCACCCTTCGGGAAACCAATGCGCGTTATAGGATTCGCTCGGTATGCGTTGCAGTCGAGTGCGGGGGGGGTGATTCAGTCCTGCCGGCTTAATAGAAAGTTACCGTACCCCGTTGGGCCAGCAACAAATATCACTTTTGCGAAGGGTCACTCTTACAGGAAGTGTCCGGTTCGGGCCGGTTCGGGCCGGTTCGGCGGCGGACCGGTTCGGTTGCAGCGGTTCGATTTCGGCGCCGGTCCGGTTTTGGTCGGTCCGGTTTTGCCAGTCCGGGTCGGTTATGCCGGTTCGGTTCGGCGGTCGCGGGACGGTCCGGTTTTGGGGGGGCCGGTTTTGGGCCGGAGGAGGAGAAGGAGGAGGAGGAGTGAGGAGGAGGAGGAGGAGGAGGAGGAGGAGGAGGAGGAGGTTTAGGAGAGGTGCCCGGCGAGGTGCCTCGCTGCAGTCGTCGTCGTCGTCGTCGTCGTCGTCGTCGTCGTCGTCGTCGTCGTCGTCGTCGTCGTCGTCGTCGTCGTCGTCGCCGCCGTCGTCGTCGTCGTCGCCGCCGTCGTCGTCGTCGTCGGGCGCCCCCGGACCTCTCGGCCCCTTCCCTCATGCCGCTCTTCCCCTCGTCTCCGCGGCCCCGGGGCCGGAAAACGCCTGGAGCCTGCCGCCGGGAGGAGGGGGTCCTCGCCTCCCCCCCCCGCGCCCTGCTGCACCCCCGAGGGGGGGCCGGCACCGCGGTGGGGGGGGGGCCGGCACCGGGGAGGGGGGGGCCGGCACCGGGGGGGGGGGGGGGGTGCCGGCACCGGGGGAGGGTGGTGTTGCCGGCAACGGGGGGGGGTGCCGGGCACCGGGGGGGGGGGGGGGGTTGCCGGCACCGGGGGGGGGGGTATGCCGGCCACCGGGGGTGGGGTGCCGGCACCGGGGGGGGGGGGGTGCCGGCACCGGGTGGGGAGGGTCGCCGGCACCTGGGGGGGGGGGGGCGGTGCCGGCACCGGGGGGGGGCGCGTGCCGCACCGGGGGGGGGGGGTGACGGCCACGGGGGGGGGGGGTTCGGTGCCGCACCGGGGGGGGGGGGTGCCGGCACCGAGGGGGGGTCGCGGCACCGGGCGGGGGTGGTGCGGGCACCGGCGGGGCGGGCGGGGGGTGCCGCACCGGGGGGGGGGGTGCCGGAACAGGGGGTGGGGCGCGGGCACCGGGGGGGGGGGTGCCGGCACCGGAGGGGGGGGGGGGGTGCCGGCACCGGGGGGGGGGGGGCCGGCGCCCCCCGGGCCGGTGGGGAGTCCCGGGGCCCGGTTCGGTTCCACCCGGTTCGGACTTGCCGTTCGGGCCGGTTTCGACCGGCCAGTTCGGTTCGAACCGCCCGGTCCGGTTTCAGCCGGTCCGGTTCGGGCTCCGGTTCGGGCGGTTCGGTTGCAGGAGCCGCCGGTTCACGGTTACCAGTTCGGTTCGGACTCTTCTTGCTCTTACGTAAAGTCAATGTGAGAGAAAGTTATACGAGTACTGGTGTACGACAAATGTGGTCGTGCCAGTATACAAAAAGTTGTACATGTATTTGTGCCAAAGAGTTGAATGTGTATTAGCTAATGTCTGGAAATGAATTTGTGCTACTGTACCAAAGGTGTACCTGTATGTGGAAGACAGCTAACTGTAGTTGCGTTCGTGTACGAAACATGTACGTGCGCTAGTGTATGAGATTTCTAAGTTTCTTGTGCCATATAGTTGTACCTGTGTTGGTGGTCGAAAGACGTGTCCGTGTTCGTGTGCAAGTGCTGATCGTGTCTTTTCTTTCACATATACATCATATATATATATATATATATATATATATATATATATATATATAAGAACAGTTGTGTTAGTGTACGAACGAATTCAACGTGCTGGCGTACAAGACTCGTGACTGGATTTGTGTAAAAGGATTGCATCTGGACTAGTGCACGACACTTGCAGTTGTGCTAGATAATGAGCGGTGTATGTTTCATGTGTGTGCGAATCTGTACTTATGCAGGTATACGAGAATTACCCGCGCACTGCTGCACAACAGTTGTGTTTGTACTCGTGCACGAGAGCTGTATATGTAGTAGTTAACAAAAGCTGTGTTCGATCAAGTGTACGGATTTTGGTTTTGTATCAGTGTAGAAAAGCTGCACTTGCCCTCGTTCGCGAGAGTTGTTTGCGGATTGCCGTACATGAGATGTACGTGTACTCGTGCACGAGAGCTGTATTTGCACTAGAGTGCGAAGGTGTATTTGTACTAGAATACGCAGCCCCTACTTGTACCAGCGCGCGAGAGGCGTAT